AGTCTACCAAGAACTCCTTCTTTGTGGCACGGCTCCATTCGCTGAAGTGGCCTACACCAAGTGGTTTGGCGAGATGCTTCGTCGACGCGTCGAGTATAGCTTGTTGCGGCGCGCTGCGCTGCGGCATGGCAGCGACGCGGCTGGCTGCCAGGAAGGCTGGAACAAGGGCGCGTGCCGCTTTCATTTTGGAGAGATGAATGCGATAAGGATGCTATAGGTATAGATTATTGTGGATGTCGGAAGGCATCAAGGCTCAGGTACGGATGCGCAGCTGGGATCCACAGCTACGTCAACGCTGGCCTAGGCGCGACCAGCTGGGCCGTGTTTCAGCCCTGTGGCTGTGAGTCCAGACGCTGCTCCCCCAAACCGGCCTGCAAGCGACATTTGACATTTGTTGAGTTCGACCAGGGTGGCATAACAATAATGCATGTCTCCAAAGCCCACTGTTTCTGCGCACAACTGGCAGAGTCTGCGCAATGCGACTAATTGCTTCTTGGTGGCTCCTTTGCAGAGACTGTGGCTGCAGCGACAGCGACGTGCAGGGCTCATATGATCAAGCATTGGGCGTCAGCCATGCTTAGTCCATCCTTCTCATGCAGGCGTCAGCAACCCCAGATATCTCTGCAGTTGAAGAAACACGAAGTATGACGTCAGAGCTGATTGCTGGAGGGATGGCATGCAGCCACTCGGATCCTCAACGAAGCCGCCCTAGCCGAAGCACTACCACGCGGCTGGTTGACAACCCGCGCGTGCAAGGAAAGCTTGACTGTGTTTTCCAAGACCCCTCTCAAGCTCCTATTCCTCAAACCCGTTATTATCGCCGTGCCAACGCGCCGCTTTCCTATCACGGCGCGCTCCTAACCCTGTTCTCACGAGGGATTGCGGAGACACGCTGCTGACTGAACAATGAACTAATTGCGTCGGTCGCGGCCGGATCGCTCGCTGCACGCTTAGCAAGACACTACTTGACCCCAACGCCGCACTCTCGCCCAAACTGCTTCCTTTCCTGGGGCACTCTCGTCGCAACCGCTGCAATTATGGATCAAGGCCCACACGAGCAGGGACGACCGTTGGCGTCGTCGTCAACTTCGACCACCACTACCTCTGGCCCCTACACTACCACCACCACGACATCCACCGCACCCGGACAGGGAACGAACGTGCAGCATTTTGGGCCACAGTCGACCACTATCACACACCCTGCCGTCACCACAACGACCCACATGCCGTCCACTCAACCCTCGCAACCACACGCGCCTACCTCGAATCCTATCCAGCGCCTGCGCAGTTCGTCTATTCGCATAAGAAGACCTTCACATCAGCCAAGCGTAAATACTCCCCAACCCACGCCTGATCCAGCGCCAGTACCGGGATCCGACAGCACATGGCAAGCCGGCCGAAGACGAAGTAGTTCTGAACCGCGCCCACCTCCAGCGGCCATGGTCGCCGACGATAGCCTAAGGCGTCAATTAACGGGGCCTCATCTACAGCCTCTATATGAAGATGGCACGGCGACAGCAAACCCTGCTATCGGCAATGGTCCGCCAACCGCCAGCAATGCACGAAGAGGGATGACTCGTCAGTCCTCCGCTTTCCACATGCGGCGGCACCAGAAGGACCCAAATCAGAACATGATGGGCAACAATGTTGTCGATGTGCTTGATGTCATCGGTCAGTAACCCTAGAGTATGCTACATTGGGGTATCAGCTAACAAAGTCTAGACCCCGAGATATCTGCCCTCACTACGCTGAATAACGTTCAGAACTCGCTCTTCTTGCCCAATCTACCCTGGCTTTACAACCGCCAGCCCACATACGATCTTGGGCAGACGACATCAGACTCCTCGGACGAAGAGATGGGCACGGCTAGAGGGGCCAGACGCGAGGAAGATCAACTCCCTGAGATGACACAACAAGGCGAAGTAGAACAAGCCGCGCGCGGAGGCCGCGGAGAATTGCGAAGAAACAACACTATCGACTCCAATCTTTCGACTCTGGAGGAAGGTGCTGGCCATCACTACGCCGTACTGCCACATGGTGCCTCGTTGACAGGATGGACCGACGAGGAGAAGGAAGCTCTGGACGACCATGTTCGACATCTTCTCCACTCTCGACGCGCAAGGTTCAAGCGGACTATGAAGGGCTTCGGACGTTACGTTCGCAACCCACTCGGCTTCCTTGTCACGCTGTACTTCTTCCTTATCACCTTCTGGGGAGCAGCATGGGTACTCTTCCTCATCGGCTGGATCTATGTTGGTGATCGTCAGGCATACTTTGTCGAGATTGCTGATCAGGTCCTTACTGCCCTGTTCTGTGTTGTTGGAATCACCATGTTTCCCTTCCGCATCGTCGACACATACCACATGGCTTTCGTCGCTTACTACGCGCACAAGACCTGGCGGCTACGCAAAGAACGAGGACTACAAGAGTTGAAAGACCACAACGAACTACCGACCATGCCGCGATCCAACGCTTGGGAAACAGGCGAGGCAGAACAAGAAGGCGTCGAGGCCCCCGTTCTCACCGCCGAAGAGCAGAAGAAACTCGAGCACCATCAAGGCAAGCTGGAGAAGTCACATACCTTCTACCGACCCCACGAGACATACACCCACCACGCCTTTTCCATCCGCCTCCTCATCACCATCATCGTTCTTCTCGACTTCCACTCCATGTTCCAATGCGCACTGGGAGGTACCACATGGGGTATCTACTACAAAGACCGCCCCAAGGAAGTCACCGCCATCATCCTGAGTTGTAGTCTTACATGCAACATCACCGCGGGCATCATTATCGGTCGTGGCGACAAGCGCAGTCGCAAGAAGCTCGTCGTTGAACAAATCCTCCGTCAAGAAATGACCGAAGAGGCGCTCAAGAAACTACGAAAAGAACGCGGTATCAAGGCCAAGGGCCTCATGACGAAGAAGCAGAAGAAACAGGTGCAAAAGGAAACGATTGGTGAACCCAAGAACCCGTTGGATACAATTCTGCATCGTGGGTAGTGTAATGCTTTTACCTCTTTCTCCTTTGAAGAGGTTCCTTCTATGATGATGGTTAGATTGTATATTTTAATTATACCCTTCCGGCGTCTTGCGTTCGCCATTTTTCGCTTCGCATTTAATCTGGCATCTACTAGTTAATGTCATGATGTGAACTGTCCTATCGAGCTTCCTGTGCTGTGATCCTCGCCTTTATATTACTCCAATTAGTCTAGTGGCTACAGCATGCGCCTCAAACAAACTATGTATATGGATCACATCACCATCCCAAGTCAAGCCAACATGACTCTATCTCGGACCTAGACAATTCTCCTAGAAAACACCGTAACCCGTAGATCAACACCGATCACCACAAGCAGACAGATATACACACCAAGTCCCTATCTCCCCACTCCAAACTTACCACCCCACCGTCACCAGCCACACCAGGTCTACGGAAAACTCACTTTGCCTTTTGCCCTAGCCGTCGCGCACACTGCCACTTCAGGGCTTCGGCATTCCCTACCGACCGCGCACTAACATGATTCAGTCTAGGCTCAAACTGTAATTTACCTCGCTGCTACCTGACACATATGCACTCCAGCACCCTTTTTGCCTATCCTTTAGCTACAAGTCATGTCAAGTGTGTCAAGTCATGTCCAAAGAGGTACTCTCCACATGGCAGAACTGCACTCCACATCCCGAAACCCACGTGCTGCGGCGCAGTTATGAACCTCGTGTCGAGCGAAGTGCACTCCACCTGCTCCTTCCATCGAATGCCAACCCCCCGCCAATGTCAAACTCACCGAGAAACCAAGCAACCAAGAGAACTACCACGCCGCGCCACGCCACCACGCGCAAACATTGCAAGTTACAGAATATCTAGTGTATCAACGTGGCTGTGTTGATGCAGACCTAAACTTTGTGGTAGTTAACAAACAAGCGAAAGCGAAGTTAGTCAAGCGTATGTTGAAGAACAGCATGGCGCGCAAAGATAAAGGGGATGATGGGGATCGGGGAATATTGACGAGATACGAGTCATTAGTACAGCGGCAAACAGCCTTCCGTCGCCTGTCAGTCAGAACAACAGATCATCGAAACAACGACAGCACCATCAGTGAAACTTAACTGCAATACGTCAGGCAGCCATGCTTACACGTGTCGGCAAGATCCGGCAAGAGGCGTGCGTGACGACCCGGGGATTTGGAATCCCCAATACAATCCATCAACAACAGTACAAGTGCAGTGAGCGATAGCGAGAGAGGGTGTGTGGGTATAGTTCGGTCGCGCAAACCTGCAGCGACGATCCATGTTAAAGAATTTGTGGTAGGTCCCCCGCTAATAGCTGTTAATGCATGTTTGAGAAACATGGTCCTCCTTGGTTGCAGATACATGTCCACGTGTAGAACGATGGCGGGGACGGGGACCAAAGTCCCGGGTTACATGCAGTGATGAAGCCAAATCCGACTGAAAGACTGATTAATCGCTGGGAATGACCCAAAGCCCAACCGTACGCCTGCTATGGCCGAAGATCCCACTCTTGGAGCCGACATGAGGAACCCGATTCACCGATTTAGTGATTCATGACATATACTTTTTTTCCCGACCTTTCTCCGAGAAGCTTTCCTTGCCCTCTCACTCCAAAGGTGTAAACCGCTCCATAAAACGCCGTCCTACGATCCGGTAGGTGAACAAAGGAAAGACCCTCTAGGGGTGTCGAGTATGCCGATGATGTCGCATAGGATCGTGTCATAATACATTCGATGCTGAAGGGTCGTGAAACAAAGCCGGTAGATAATTGAAACCGTTGTTGGTGGGACAGCTAGTCCTAGGTCCGAACAGAGTCGGCTAAACCGTGTACCCGTCCGTTGGTGTAGAAGTAATAAACAGAAAACGCTGAAGTGAAGCCTCACGATGTAAGGCAGAAACAGACCCAGAAATACAGTCCAGTGAAGGTGAAGGCTCGAGTGACTTGAGCAGCCGCGTTGCTCATGCAAGACGACAGTGATGTGAAGAAGGGTTGCTTCAACGGTGAGGGTGCTCGTAGGGCCGCATACCACCAAACTCGACGCCTTGCATCGGTCCCTGCATAGAGCCTCCATGCGGCGGTGGTCCCCACTGAGCCTGCGATGGTGGTGGCTGTTGCGAGAGCCCCTGCTGTTGCTGCTGCTGCTGCTGCTGCTGTTGCTGTTGCTGTAACGGTGGAAGGACGTTGGTTCCGGACGCAGGAGTTGCGGGTTGTCCTTGTGCGAACTGGCCTGTCATACTTCCGTAGACATGAGAGTTGGATGGATCGACGCGACGGAGAGCGTTCCACACGGCGTTCAATTCTGCTCGGAGGAGCTCGTTCTCCTCCTGGGCCCGACGACAGTACTCTGCATCTGGTCGCAAGCGACTGATTTCCTCGCGAGCGCTTTGGTGTGCGCGGGTCAGGCTTGTGACATATTCAATAGCTAAAGACACGTCAGACAAATATCTGCAGCGATGCATGGGCGAACTTACCCTTGGTGAGAATCTCCCACTTAGATGACTTGCTGCCTGGGCTGTTGGGAAGGATGCCATTGAGATCATCGAACAGGTTCTTCATCTCACTACGACGCTTCCTCTCTGCCATCTTGTGGCTGACGCGAAGCTCAGGGGTCCTGCTATAACTTCCACTCCCAGGCGCAAGCGGGTTGGTGGGATCAACATTCTGCAGGCTAGTCACGCTGCGATGTTGCATGGAGTGATGATGAGTGCTAGGGATGTCTGAACTAGTCAGTACGTCTGATGAAGGATGAGAGTAGGGAGGCGTGCCATCATTCAGTCGTTGTTGACCGGGTGGTAGCTTGGAGTCTGTGGTGAAGATGCTGCTGTTGACCGACGTCGCGAAGCTGCCTTGACGCGAAGGGGCGTTGGATCGGTCTACGCTAGACTCGCCGCTACTGGACGTCCTCTTCTCTTCGTGGTCGTAATCATCTGCGGGAAAGGCCCAAGCAAAACCCTTAGTCGGAGCCGCCGCCATGGGATCCGGCATGCCAGACACGCTTCTGGGGTTGGGGTTGATGACCGGGGCACGTCGAGGGGGATGGTTGGCACGCGGAGCAGCGCGGTTGGGTGACAGAGGAGAAGTGCCGTTAGGGCGCGCGTCAGGATTTGTGATGCCGCGTTGCTGCTGGAGGTTCGAGACAAGCGAGACTCGGGACGCATTTTGGCTCTCGTATGGTGACTGCGGGTGAATGGATAGATGACCCATGGTAGCGTTCATCCGACTGTCTACGCTGCTGCGTCGAGAGTCGAAATGAGAGCCGGCATCGATACTGAGCCGGCTGTCGAACCCTTGGTTGAGTGGAGGTAGAACACCATGCTACTGCTATGTTAGACGAGTTTATAGGCGATCATAAAATGCGTACCTGAGACGTCTGGGAGAGGCCAGACGGATACCTAGCCGATGATGGCGTCTCGGGTATCGAACTTCTTGATGGGGAATCATCGGAAGGATTGAGTAGTGTTTGCACGTGTAGTCCCAAGGACTGGGACATAGTTGATGAGTCTACAAAGCGTGTCAATAACGTGCAGATGATAGGTATCGTGAGAACTCACGTTTGCTTTGGGCAAGAGACCAATTGCCTGAGTCGCGAACCTCGCGTGCTTCTGAGTGCTGCCTGGGCTGTGCCGGGGTCGGCTCAGCCGTAGGTAGACGGTTGGTGAGTGAGGACAATGGCGGCAGAGATTGCTGGCCCTGAGTGATGTTGTTTTGCATGTTGTTCTGCGACATGTTTCCGTGCGGCGTGGTACGCTGAGAAACAGAGTTCATGGATATGGAGGCGGCGCACGAGGTACCTTATAAAATAGTCGTGCGTGCCCGCCGTTAGTGGTAGCGAGAGGGCTTTGGGCTCGTGATGATGTCCACACTCGAACGGGTGAGATAGTGGAGCCAGTGAGGCGCGGAATAATGACGTTTGCCAGAGCAAGTGGTTTTGGTCACTTTCGGCAATCGTAGATGGGCCAGGTGGGAAAGATGGGGAAGTAAGAGTAAAAGAGGGCCGAGTTCCGGGAAGGGAAGCTTGGATAAGGGTAGTGGCCGGGGCGTGGAGTGGAAGAGGGATGCAGGGCGTGGTAAGGGTAACGGGCAGCGAGGCCGCACGGGATATGGTTCGTTCCTCCCTGAAAGTAAAGATGGCAGTTGGGTTGAAGTGGGGCACGACGAATGGAGCGCCAAGACCGTCCCAACTCTAATGGCAAGCGCAAGGTAACGATCCACGCCGATTACCGCGAGAAGGGCAGGAGCGATGGCCGTGTCTTGCAGGAGTGGCAGCTGCGAGGATGCCCGGCGTCAATGACTTCTTTTGGCGGTACGAGTCGGGACAAAAGCAAACACGGTTCCTGGCAAAAACTCCACGAGAGCTGGAGATGCGGCTGCCGTGCTCTCCCTAGTCGGCGGACGCTGCAGCAGGGACAATACAAAGGTGCCTTTGCCCAAACCAGATGGGACACGGCGTCCAGAGGGCGGGATCTGGAATTGACACGATGGAGGCGCCCTAAAAGACGAGTGCACGACGTGGGCGTCGAGCGAGGCGTCGTGGTGAGAATTGGCCAGCTGGGGCGGCTCTGGGGCGTGGTGGGTCGAGATGGTACCAGTTGACACGGCGACGAGGACAAAGTCGAGAGACTCTGGATTCGCGCGCGTGGGGAAGGGGAGCAGCAGTCAGCAGACTACCGGGTTGAGTACATGTCCTGGGGCGGAGGGCAGCAAGGAGCACAACAAAGCAGCGGGCAGCCGGCGGTCTAGCCGTAGGGACGTCGTACGACGTTGGGAAGGGACCTCTGGAAAGTGGAGGAGGTGCGGCGCAACAGAAAGCTAGAGGCGACGGTTGAGTCTTGACGAGTCGCAAGGGCAGCCAGGGAGCCAGCCAATTAATGGATATGGTGGTGCCCAGAGGTGAGCCGGCCGCACGTGGGAAATCGTTCAATCGAGGCCTCGTGTATCTTAAGCTGCCCGTCTAGCGGCGGCTAGCTGCACTTAATATGGGCTCCCTGCCTCCGCGCGCGAACTGGTGCACTTGTCATATGGCGGTGCCCATGACAGCAATTCCCTCTGCCACCACCGACCCGCGAGGGGCCACTCCGCCCGGCTGTGGCAGCCAGAGGTTCGTTCCGCTCCAGCGTGCAGAGCAGACGCATGCGCAGGCACGGCATCCTGAGCCCCGCGAGCAGCAGACACGGGCGGCGAGCATGGCAGGGCCTTGTACTTTGTCGTCACTTTAGCCAAACCCGTGTTGCTATCCCGCCGCCCGCTGTACCGCCACGAGGTCACTAGCCCTCCACGCCTGCTACCCAACCGGCCAAAGCGCCGAGCAAAAGCAAATTCTGCGACGCTGTCCTCCTGCGCCGATCCCTCATGGCCGCCTGCAGCGCGCGCATCCTTCTGTAGCCTGCATTCGCTGCCGGCATGCAGTAGTCGCCTTAGCCCGTGCCCATGCCAAACAACATGGCCATACTTGGCCGGCTAGCGCTGTGCGAGACCACGGTACAGAACGACTACTGAACATATCCACACTTCGCGTCTCCGGGGCCACCGACACTGCCCCCATCGTCGCTTTGTTCCGATGGATGCACTGATGCACTGAGCTTCACAAGTCTGCAGGGCACGGCGCTCCCGAACCCTGCCTCCCGCATGGCAATCATCCCGCTCCATTAACCAGTCCTCCTGGCCCGACTTCTGCCAGAACTCCCGCCGCCCACAGCCTCTTTTGCCCTGCCAATTATCCTCCGCGGTCACACAGGCGCTGTGCCTCCTCTGTACCCTTGGTAATAAACCCACCCCTTGCTCCTGTCCACTTTTACTCCATCGCTCTTTGGTCGACATGGCAGATCGTCCGTAACCGTTACCTCCATCCCTACTTCTGCTTCTTGGAACCTGCAATGCACATGATGATGAACCCTTGGAACCTGCATCCTTCGACCAGGTTACACGGGACACCATGTGAGCATCGACGTCGCTTCTATCTCGGACAACCAGCCTCTGTACAGCAATCGTCCATCGATTATTGTTGAACTGTGAGTTCCATGTTCTTTGTAGTCGCCATTGGAAGCCCTGAACCATCTCAGCGACTCAACTCGTCACAGTAATGACCAACATCATTCATGGCTCTACGATCACCCACCAGGACCGCGGTGTTGTCTCAGACAAAGAACCACATCGGCGTATTCATCGGGGCACACAATCGGCTAACCTACTTGGAATGTATCTGCCTAGAACGACTATGACCATTGAAACTGGACTGCAGACGGCAACTGCTGCCGAAACATGTCCGTCTTTACGCATCCTTTGGATCAGTATCACGTAGTCGGTCCAAGCCGGTCAAGCTACTCTACACCACATGGCGGTATCGCCGCCTCCTCGCACTGTACTCGGTCTGGCGGTGCTACCACACGCAGACCCGACGACCAGGTCCACAACGTAACGGTCTTGTGTCAGGTGCCAGTGCATGTTTGGTCCTCCAGTGCTCTGATTGAGCAACAGTGGCTGAGGAGCCAACTCCGGATCCCACATGAATCCACGGTCAAGCCAACCGTAATTCAAGTTTGCAGAACTCACCATTCACCAGGTTCAGGGCCGTCGGCCTGTGAGCTCAACAACATGGGTGTTCGTCTGTTTCTATGGTTCAACTCTACATCGAAAGATCTGGAAGGCTTAGTTATGGTCACAGCATTGCTAGGCTGTAAGAGATATAAGGATTACATGCTGTTGTGTCTGCAGCTTGTATGGCACACTTTTGGGGCAGTGCCCGGGCGATGGTTTCCATGTTGCTGTGAACGTGGACCATACCAGGAACGAACGGTTTCTTGTGCTCTCAAAGAACATACATGATTCAGATTTTGTGTCTGTCAATGTCGTTGTTCGATCCAAGCCACCGATGGACATGCATCATCGAACGCGCGTGCCTCTAGGTTGCACAGGCGCGACACGTTATCAGCACGCCAGCTACCTCCAAAAGCAGGCTTGAAGGACAGATGTTGTACTCGGACGCGTCAACCTGCCAGCAGCTGGTATCCGTTGCTAAGTGGAACTGTTGGGGCGCGGACCGTAACACAATGCAGGACTACCCCAGGTGGGCCGTTACGCGCTCAAAGTCTATCGGTAGACAAGACCAGTCGGTAAGGCTCCCGTGCCTCCCTTGCAGTACATCATTAGACGGACATTGCAGTGACATGCTCCGATGATCTGAGGCTTGGTGACATTCCGGCTGCAAGGCCCCTGAAGCTCGGCAGCACAGCAGCGGTCGCGTACCTGAAGGCAATATAGTTGTAATTGCCGGATCCGAACGGCGCTGCAACGGTTACTCGTAGATTGCAGTTACACTGAAAGCTCATCTCGGTCATGACTACCGGAGCAGTATGGTTGTTGAACGGAGGTTTACCTCGAAGTAGTGCAACTACCAGCGCAAGCATTTCGCCTCGGTACCAACCGAAGCCTAAGATGACTGTACCTCGATCGATTTGGGTGGCATTGGGTAGCAAAAATGCCTCAGGCACGATTACCGTACGATGTTGGCACGAGATGAGTAAACCTCGAAGACTCTACACAGTACCCAAGGTATTTCTACGTGCCTGGCCTCGCGATTTGCTGCCAACCCGACAGTACGGATACGCTACGAAGATGACGGTCATTACAGACAGGAATCGGCCCGTTCATCCATGGGACATGTCAAGCGCCTGCCTGATCCAGGTGCTAGCTGCGCCGCCGCCTCGCCACACAACAGGGATGAGCAAATGCGGGCGGGGATGCGAAGCGACCACCACAATCACGTGAAGATCGTCACGATGCAGATAGCGCTGCGGGGCAAAGCTTGGTTCGCAACACGAAAAGCACGCGTGAACTGTGAGCAGGCACCATGGACGCCACTACCGCAACCGCCGTGCCTGTTGATGCTGAGCATGTTGAACGTGAGGACGCCGTGCCATCGCATGTTTTCCCCTTCCTCAGGCTTCCACGAGAGCTGCGGGATCAAGTACGCATCTCTGCCGCCACTACGTTGGATCTTAGGCTGACGGCAACATAGATATATGACTACACTTTCGCTGCGCAAGAGTTCAGCGTTGACCGGGCCATTGAGCGACGTCACCTGAAATATTTCAAACCCAGCGCTGCTGCCATACTCCTCATAACCCGCCACCAATACTTCCTCCTCAACCGTCAAGTCGCCCGTGAAGCGCTCGAGATCCTCTTCAAAAACCACACCGTCTACCTCAGCTGCGGACCATTTGTTCTGAAAGCACTGCTAGAGAAGATCGAAGAACCCAATGGTCCCGGCAGACAATGGCTGAAATGGCTGAAGAAGATAGAGTTGGACTGGGAAAACTTGCCCAACCTACAACACTACCCACCTGACCGAGAAGAAGGAAGGGACGTGTGGTACTGGGAGCATGACCAAGAGGAAGTCGATGTCGACTACATCCGAGGCGCCTACTACAGCGGTCACTACGACGAATACGACCACGAAGGCGGATCCTACGACGACAACATATATGACGCCTCCAACGCATCGCTATACCCATCCTTCCGCCAGCCAGCCACCACACAACCCCCCAACGCAAACGACCCCTTCGGCTTCTCAAACCACTATCCCTTCGCCGACCCAACAATCGACCCCGTCCGCGAAGCCTCCGCCGCAGACATAGCGACGAAACTCGACCTCCTCGTCTCCATGGAAGTCACACCCCTCTTCACATACCTCGCCTCGCCCACATTCAATCTAAGTAGCATTACACTCC